ATAATCCATGTGACATCAGGGGTTCAACCGTAATTTTACGAAGATTCCATGTCACATGGATTATTTTACAGATTTCCTTACTACGTTTCTGGACCTTGATCGTGTAAGGACCCTCAAAAATATCTTAATTTGTGTTCCGAAGATGAATAGAAGTCTTACAGTTTGGAACGACATGAGGATGAGTAATTAATGACAGTATTTTCATTTTTGAAGATTTACAGACTCTCAAGCCATCCTAGGTGTATCTGACTTTCTTCTTTTAGACGAATATAATCAGAGTTATATTTAAAAAATGTTCTGGCTTTTCCAAGCTTTATAATGGCAGTGAATGAGATTTTGAAGACCAAAAAAGTGCATCCATCCATCATAAAATGTGCTCTACACGACTCCGGGGGGTTAATAAAGGCCTTCTAAAGCAAAGCGATATGTTTGTGTAAGAAAAATAATCTTGCAAAATTAAATTAATAATCTCTAGCTTCCGTTAACTGTCATACGTGTGTGTACACGAGAGTGGCGTTCCAGCGGATGACGTAGGATGTAGGTGTAGCGTAAGCCCCAGTGAGAATGAGATGGTGAGTGAATCGTGGGGTATTTTTAAGACGTAAAGACCCACAGAAGCCCTGATAAAAGCATCTGCCCAACTGTATAAATGTAAAGTACAAACTAACTCAGAACATGGCAAAAAGCTATATCTGAGGGTTAAAACAAAAAGTTTTGTTACTTTCACTTTAAAATCCATTAAATATGAATGTGTGTCAACACGTATTCACGGCCCTCAGGCTAACGACTGGATTTCACACGCGACTCTCTTTATTCTATTTACAGAACTGTAGAAAATTTTTGGGGCCTTGAAAGTGAAAAAGTGGAATTCCCCTTTGTGAGTTTTTCCTCAAGCATCTAGTCACTGATTTTAATTTGCCACAGACTCGGAGCATTTTTATGCTCATCAGAATGCAGCCATTGCAAACATGAAGTGAAGTTACACTTACCGAAGGTTAACAAGAACCCATAAAGCATACTGAGCACCCAAGAGTACCAGCCTTTGTGTTCCACATATAATAAGCTATAAACTGCATAGCACCCAAAGAGAGGGTACAACAGCCAGGACAGATACTTAAAAGCCATCTGGGGAAAAAACAAAACAGACATTTCTCATAAAGTTTGAATAAATTATGTGTATTTGATCAATCACCTTTAAATTGCAGCTAAAAAGTCTCTTACGTCATCATAGATTTTTGTTGAAGACTCCACATATGTGGACTTGTCTTTGAATATCAATCGTGGGAAAATTCCAGCAATCCTGTTCTCTCTGTCCAGCTAGAAAAAGAAAACAAGAATCAACATCGAGAACCAACAATTCAAGCCTAGCCATACAACTAAAGTCCTCCAAAGTGCCTGGCAGTGGCATCATCTCACCCTGATGTCCATGACTTTGGTAATCTTCCAGAAGTCGATGAGCAGGCCGATGAATACGCTGACCTGGACGACAAAATTGGTCTCATTGTCCAGGATATAAAGCAGCACTACCAGAGACTGGAACACCCCGAATATGATGGAGCGCACAGACAGCCCCTCCAGAGACTGACGGCTGTTCCAGAACTGGATATCTGCAGAGAAAGTGAAATGAGAGACGCCACGCAGCTCAGACACCAGAACCCACAAGTCTCTATCAATTACCACACACATACATCAGTATTTATTAGGGATGCTCCGAAACCACTTTTTCCAGTACTCAGTCGATACTGATACTTTTATTTTTGGTACTTGC